GTCTTCGGTGTTCCATTTCCCAATCCAGATCCCTACTAATGGCCTGGGAAAGCAGTGGAAGATGGTCCAGCTCCTAGATCCCTTGCACCCACTTGCGAGACCCAAAAGAAGCTCCAGACTCCCGTTTTCAGAGCAGCCCAGCTCCAACTGTTGCATCTGTTTGAGGAATAAAACAGTGAATGGAAGATCTCTCTCTCAGTCTATCCTTCTCTCAGTAAATCTACCTTTCAAATAAAAATAGCTAAATTAGTACTTGAAAGGAGCTCTCAATAAATGCTAACCAATGCAAGTATTTGCTTCCATTCAGAAACAAGAAGTATACGTGTTGTATACAGGTTAGAAAATGTAGGTCTCAGAATATCTCTGAGCCACCTAAGCACTACACGCCTTACAATGTTGACCTTACTCCCTGTTGTCAACAAATTCTTCCCTGAGAAACACAACCTTTCATAATCTCTCCTGGTGCCCAGATTTTTGTCTGCTCATCACAATTTCACATCCAATGCTTCTGTTCTTTAATGATGTCTCACACAATCTACCTGGGGGCTCACTGGGAAAAGATTTTTACCTCCTGCAGCATCTACAATTATACTGGGCGTTGAACCAGAGGAATTTCTGTCTGGAGTTTGAGAGAATGCCCTCTGCTTGCCAACATGTCTGGTCTTGGTAAAGGCCTGCAAGGTTCATAGCCAACACACTACAGAGTACAGGTTCCCTCCACATGGGAATGCCTGCATCTTTGGCAGTGAAACTGGACTCGGATTTTCTCTAGGCAACAGCTTCACTGGAAGCGTTTCGCATGATGTACCATCATTTTCCTTGGATTGGATTTTCTCAGGAATACAGCAGCAGCAGACGTGCCGCACAGAGAATGGGATAGAAACGGGCTGTTTGGCAAGAAATGTGCTGTGAAAATGGGCATCAGAAAGCAGCACAGTGCTCCCTTGGAGTCATTTCTGGAAGCTCCAGGCCTGAAAGCATCTGTCAGTTTTACCATAAAAGCAAAAAAATCACTGTGGAGTGGAACGTCACTGGTGGAAAACAGCTCATGGAAGATGTGTGTGATTTTCAAGTGGCATGGATCACAACCTTGCTTTTCCCTTTGTACCAAAAATAAATGTTATATTTTTTAAAGACTATTTATTTTTATTGGAAAGACAGATTTGCAGAGAGAAGGCTCTTCCATCCACTGGTTCACTCCCCAGATGGCCCCACTACTGGAGCTGAGCTGATCCAAGGCCAGGAGCTTCCTCTGGGTCTCCCATGCAGGTGCAGGGTCCCAAGGCTTTGGGTCATCCTCTGCTGCTTTCCCAGGCCACAAGAAGGGAAATGAGTGGAAAGTGGAGCAGCCAGCACACAAGCTGACATCTCTACAGGATGCTAGCATTTGCTGGCAGAGGATTAAATCCTTGAGCCACCATGCTGGGCTCCTTGAAGTGCCATCATATTGAGAGTGCTGGAGCACCTGGAAAGTGAAAGGAGGCCTTATGAAGCATGCACCTTCATGCTGAGAACTGCTTGTTTCCAAGGAGAGGCAAGACCACCAATGAAATCTCCCACAGGGGGCAGTCTCAGCGGAGGAAACAGAAGAGGAAGCAACACATGAGTGGGTCTGAATGCGAACTGTCAGCCTTTGTCCTCAACTCTAGCTACCACGGTCCTACTCCAGTCTGGCCTCCAGTGGCACTCAGAAGCTTCCTAGAATGTGGGCCAGGAAAAACAAGCCAAAGAATGATTACCCATAATATAGGATGACTTTCAGGGAACTCTGGAAACAATGATGTTTTATAAATGCAGGGAACAGCCACTACTCATCTGCAAAGCGAGGCAGAACACAAAAGAAGTAGCACTTCTGCCTCCCCAAGTCCATGCGAGCAAAAAGCCAGATGGGAAGCAGAGGTGGACGGAAACCCAGGCATTAGGTAGGATGTCGGTATCCCAAGCTGTGACTCAGCCACTGGATCACACTCCCACCCCATGATATGGATTTAGCAGTAGCAATAACAGAGGTGCATTAGAAGGGCATAGTTGAGCTCTGCGTAATAGTATCACACTTATTTTTTTTTAACTTTGTGGTTTTTCTTTCTTTCTTTTTTTTTTTTACTTGAAGGTCTAAGTTACAGACACACACAGAGAGAAAAATCCTCTGTCTGCTGATTCACTCCCCAAAGGTCCCCATCAGCCAGGGCTGCGAAAGACCAAAGCAAGGAGGCAGAAGCTTCCTCTGGGTCTGCTATGTGGGTGCAGAGGCTCAGGCACCTCAGTTGTCCCCTGCTGCTTTCCCAGGCACATTAGCAGGATCTGGATTGGGCGAGGAGCAGCCACAACTTGACCAGGAGCCCACATGTACCACAGAACGGGTCCCAGAAGACATTATTAACACTCTTAACGTTAATTGTCTATCATGTTCTGGTCATTTGGCTGAATTCTTTGCATACATTATCCCACTTCATCCTTCCAACAGGTGCCTAGCCCATTCTTCAAAGGAGTACCTGCTGCAGATTTTACACTTAAGTAAAACGTGGTGTGGGGACCACAATTTAGGTGTGTTTACTCAAGCAGAATTTGCTTAGTCCTGAGATCAAAGAGGCGTGATCCCGTGCCCTGTTGTATGAGCTGTGACTGAGGTATGCACAGGCTTGCCATAGCAACAAAAGGGTGCATCTTGGGCTGTTCCAGGATGTATGAATAAAATGCAAGTCTGCAGTTTCCGAGAGCTCACATTCTGAAGATCTCAATCCAGGAGACACATCTGCATTCAAGCCCTAACCACACGCTCCGCACTGGCCTTCACTCTTGGTCTCCACTTGGTCCGCAGTTGCAGCGACTAGGCCCTATCGGTGCGGGGTTACAGGATGAGCTGCCCGGACTCGAAAGCAGTGCACCGGAAGCGGTGGTACCGGGCGGTCGTAAGCGGCAGCGCATCTTCCGGTGGGGAGTTGTGGAAGTCGGCGCTTGTTGTGGAGTGTTTGTGGGCTGCCTGGCGGCGGCGGGGCGACCCTTAGGGCGCGGGGACCGAGCGGGTTGGACCTGCTCGCCCGGCTGTGCCCGCAGGTGCGCCCCCGAGGTCCCGTCCTGGGTGTCCTGGGAAGACGCCGAGGCTTCTCCAGGACCAGACCTGGTCAGCTGCGCCCCGGAGCCCCTGGTCCTCCAGGGAAGGAGGGCTCGGGAGGAGCCGGCCTGGCAGTTGGGGAGCCTCGGGTCCTGGTGCCCAGTGCCTGGCCGGCTCCGGGATGCTGGTTCTGCGGCAGCTGCGGGCGCTTCGAGGGTTGCCTGGGTCAGGAACCCCGGGTGAGGGTGGCGTCCCTCGGGGAACAGCTGCTGGGATTCCCCAAACCCAGTGGGCCTGGGGCGCTGCCGGACGTCTGCTTGCCACTTGTCCCCTGGCCGAAATGCGGAGCAGGGTACAGCCCTCCCCGGGGGACTGCAGCGAATTGTTGTGTTCACTTTAAAAAAAAAATGTATTTTTATTGCACAGTTAGACATATAGAGAGAGGAGGAGAGACAGAAATATCCTCCGTCTGATGGTTCACTCCCCAAATGACCGCAATGGCTGGAGCTTAGTCGAAGCCAGGAGCCAGGAACTCTTCCGGGTCTCCCACGCGGGTGCAGGGTCCCAAGACTTTGGGCCGTCCTCGACTGCTTTCCCAGACCACAGGCAGGGAGCCGGATGGGAAGCAAGGCTGTTGGGTTTAAAATCGGCGCCCATATGGAATCCCTGCGTGTTCAAGGCGAGGACTTGAGCCGCTAGGCTACCGCGCCGGGTCCCGTGTTCATTTTTTAATACCTTCGTTCACATCAGATGTCAGTAGGGCTGCCCCACTGGAAGTGGAGAACTGATAGATGTGTCCTGAACTCTCTCACCTCCCTGCCTGTGAAATGAGCGTTCAGATCACCGAAGGGGATTTGTGAAAACAGATTCCTAGATCGGCCCCTCTCGGATCTCTAGTGGGTCCAGGACTAGGACCTCAGGACCAGTAGGCTAAGCAAGCTGTGAAACGAACCTGATCTCTGGGAGTTTGAGATGTGAAGGTTTCTTAGATCCCGAATCCAGTGGATCAAAGATTTGAAACTTGGAACTTGAATGTCCTTATCTGGAACCTGTATTTGTTGTGGACAGATCTTTCTCAAAAAAAAAAAAAAAAGTCAATTTAGGATTACTGGAAATTATGAGGTGGATTTTTCACTTAAGATTAGGGCTTAATAAAATTCGAATGCAAATTGTCTACTGTTGCTTTCCTGTGTGGGTAGCTCACTGTGCTTGGTCATCTGCATATAGACACAGCGTATTGCCATGTCCTATACAACTGTCTCAGTTTATCCTAAGTTACATTTTCTTCTGGTAGAAGATAGGTTTTTTATGTTTGAATTTATTTGGTAAAAAGATGTATTGATTTGAAAGGCAGAAAAAAGTGAGGGAGAGACCTAGAGAATTCTTCCAATTCCAGGTGATGGCAGCAGGCGGGGTTGGACCACTCTGAAGCCTGGAACTCCATCTGGCACCTTGGCAGGGAGCTGGATTCAAAGTGGGGCTCCTGTGGAATGCCAGCACTGCAAGTGGTGGCTAAGCCCGTGGCTCCACAATGACAGCCCCAAATTTTAGTTTATTTAAAAGTTTCTTCTGGATTAACTATAGTTGAGCATATGTGTGAGCTATTGTGTAATGTTTTGATATGTATATACATTGTGGAATGATTGAAGAGATCATCACCTCATATATTTTTTTTTTTTTTGGTGTATGGGGAAAACATTTTGAAATCTAGTGTAGCAGTGGTGAAATATGCGCTATGCTGTTCTTATCGTCACCATTCTGTTCACTCAAGCTTAAAGCCTTTTGTAGAGTCCAGGTTTTGTACCACTTAGCTAGCCCAGCCCGTGGTAAACGCCTCCTACGCTCTATGTCTGAGTTTGACTTTTGCAGATTCCACATAAAAGTGAGATCATGCAGGATTTGGCTGCCCCTGGCTTCTTTCACTTACCTTGATGTCCTTCAGGTCCCTTCACCAAGGCTGCCTCCCGCAAGCGTCAGGGCAGTCTGTTGCAGCCGGTAAGACCTGAGTGTGGATGTGCACTTGAGATCTGAAGTCCCCGTCGGTGAAGGTTCCTTGTGTTCTGCTCTTGGGAACTAGTATGAGTAATGAGATTTAGGACAGGTTCTGGAGGACTTGAGAATTTCTCAACCAGTACTTTTTTGGGCAGGTGGTATGGTGATAAGGTTATGGAAGATTACCAGCTGTCCCAGGTAACTTAATAGGCTACTTGATTGTGATGTTGTGTTAACAAAATTGATTTTATATAAAAGTGTTGGTAAAGGGATTACAGCTGCTGTCTTAGGAGATCGAGCTCTTAGAACCCTGACTAAGTGCATCTTTCTTTCTTTCTTAAAAGAGAAGCAGATTCCACCGTGTGGTTTAAATCAGGAATGAGATCTTCGGAGAGCTCAGAGCCCACTACGTTTTGGTTAACATGGAAGACAAAAGACGCCGAGCCCGAGTCCAGGGAGCCTGGGCTGCTCCTTCAAGAAGCCATGGTGTTGCCCAGCCAGGCAAGAGCCCGTGGGGATGCCGTCCGGGCTGCTGGGAGGGACAGCTGCTGTCTCCTCTTTGCTTTATACACTTTGGTTTATTCTGCTCGTTGTTTCAGTTGATGCTCAGGAATTGTTTCAAATGTGGCTGGCCTGTTGTCTGATTTGGTTGGTGGTAAGCTAACGGTGGGGTTCCCCATCTTTGGTCTGCTGACTTCACCCTCTGCCGAGGTCACTCAAGTCCGTGTGAATGTTCCTGGCCCTTGCTCAGTGGGTGACTTTCTGCATATTGAGGCTGCTTGCTGTTTTCTTTCAGCTACCACTCCCACAAGCCATCTCCGCCAAACACCTGCTCAGACCTGGAGGAGCAAGGAGCATCATCTCTCTGGCTCTCTAAGAGAGTTTGTGTTCGAAGAACCCCAGCTGGTAAGTCCGATTTTACCCTGTAACTCTTACAAAGATTTGCCTTTGAATCTGTCTCACCTTCTCACTCTGATTCTTTCAGCTCAAAATGAAGTCTTTAAAGTTACCTATAATCTCTCACAATATCCAATTACACATATGGTATTTTATTTAACAATAAAGATATATTCAAAGTACAATGAAATAGTGACTGGATAAATCCACTAGTGAATAACAGAGCGGAAGGACTGTGCTACTAATGAATAGGAAGTATTTCAATTAATTAATGTATTTGAGGAGTCCCTGTGTCTTCTCCCCATTTATGTTTGGTGGTAATGGGGATGCGTGGAGGCTCTACAGTACCCGGAAGGTAGAGATTACAGCATGACCAGACCTTGCATTAACCAAGGCAGGTTTTAGTTTTGATGATCCTAAAATCATCTTTTAGTCAGTGGTAATGCTGCAAATATTTTTGAAATTGGATTGAAATTTCAGTTATTTTGGAAAAATACCTGATGCTTTGCTCTTTTCTCCATGGAAAAAGATGTAAAAAAATGCCTAAGATTCACTTTTTAATAATATGAGAAAAAAGGGTTACAAAAAGTCAGGCATCTGGAGGCCAGTGTGTGGCTCAGTGGGTTAAGCTGTTGCCTGTGTGTGTGTGAGCATCGCATATGGGCTCCGGTCCTCAGTCCTGGCTGCTCTACTTCCAACCCAGCTTTCTATGAATGTGCTGGGAAAAGCAGCACAAGACGGCCTAAGTGTGGGAGACCCAGATGGAGTTTCTAACTTCTATTTTTGGCCTGGTTCATCCCCAGCGATTGTGGCCTTCAAGGGGGTAAGCCAGTGGATGGAAGAGGGTGGAAGACTCTCTCTTTACTCTCCCTCCCTGTATCTGTAACTCTACCTTTCACAAACTTCTTTTAAAGAAAACGATGTGCCTTGCTTATATCATGTTGCGATTGTCAGAAGAACTTAGTATCCATGATGTGTTTTTTTTTTAATCTGTTTTCTGGAAAGGTTTCTCCAGACTTCCTGTCTGGACAACAGGAAGACTGATAAAATCTGATTGTATCCTCTTCCTATCTGCTGGCAAGTGTGAAGCAGTTGTAGGAATGGAAGCAAGCACCCGTGCCGGGGTAGAAAGGGGTTGGAATAACAGGGGACCGTTGACAAGCTGGCAGTCGGTCACGTCCTAGACGTAAATCAGCTGTCTCCTTGCAGGTGGCACGACGCGCTCCGGAGCCGCGAGTGATTGAGTAAGTGACTTGCCTCATTGTTGCCTGTCATGACACACGGAGGCCAGGATTACCCCTCACTCTGGCTTTTCCAGCTGGAAAAGAATGGCCCACTAAGTGTCCTAATTGCAGCCTGGGATATTCCTGTCTCAGATGTCTTTGATAAGACTTTGAATTTGCCTGATGGGATAGAAAATGCAACAAGATGCCCACACCTGAAAGCGACTCAGGGTCGGCTCCCTGGCCATGTGTCCCTGATACTTGCAGACAGTAGGCTGGAGCATCACGTAGGTCAATAAAGATTATTACCCCTGCATCATTGAACTCTTCAAGAGATCTCTGAGTAGCATTTTACAGGCAATGCTTATCCCGGCCCCTGGCGATCTCAGTGGCCTGATAGTCCACTTATTAAAGCCGAGTGATTGCAATGTAAATGATACTAAAAGCCATTATGTCGATTAGTGCCTAAAATGTTCTGGCCCACAGTTGATGGGAAAGCTTTGGCTCTTCCTGCTTCTCAGTTTCCACCTAAAAGAGATCAATTGTCAGTAAAAACTATCCTCTTATTTTTTAGCAAATATGCATAAGGTGTATGTTCACCCAGGAGTGAACTGTTCTTGACTGTTGATCTGTATGACTAAGGAAATTTGAAAATAACTCAAATGTTGCTGGCTAGATATGCAACTACTCTTTATGGTGTCTGTCCATCTCTCTGAACTTCAGGGCTATCTTTAAAGTTAAGAGTGTGAACCATGTAATCTCTGAAGGTTCAGTTTGGCTCTAATAGTCTTTGATTATATCAAAAATAACAGTATGGTGTTGCCTTCACTGGTAATACAGGAAATTTGTAAAGGCTAAGAACCTTGTTACTAAATACAGATTGGATATTTGGTCCAAAAAAGCAGGGTAGCTGTGAATTCGCAAGTTAGAGGAAATTGACAGAAACCATTTCAATTTGACCCTAGACATTGTTCATTATTGTTATTATTGAAAGTCTGCTGGTTTTTTGTTTGTTTTTTCATTTTGCTGTTTTTTAATAGCCAGAAATGTGTTCTAATTTAAAACAAGCCCATTTCTGTATGTCCCAGATAGATCACGTTGAAATATTGGATCCCTGTCCCTGTTGTGCATAACTTATAGGAGTGTGCCAAGTATTGTATGTGTAAAAAGGGGTTTGAAGATCGCCCTCAGAGCCTCAGCTCAAAGAGAAGTACTCAGGCCTGTGACAAAGGGTGACATCACAGCTGTTCCTGTGTAGCTAGGCTCAATAAAATGCCTCTGAGAGGGTACTGAGCCAACACACAGCTCCAGTCTGATCGTCTCTTCACGTGACCCTCCCCACCCTGCACCTGTGCACCGGATCTCTGTGCTTCTGTGTTTGATTAGATTCAGAAGGCTAGCGCCTCTTGGCAGGCACTGGGAAGCAGTAGGAGACCGTCCTGCCCTCAGGGTACCCAGTGTCTATAATGAGGTTGACATGTAAACAGGCCACGGCCTTACGCGTCAGGACACAGTAGCCTTCAAGTAAGGTGTCGGATGACAGGAGTAAGTTAGGATAAGTTAAGTGATGATGAGTTCAGATTTCTGGAAGGTGAATTAGAATTTTCCACCAGAGCAAATCCATTCACTGGGTGGAGCTGGTTGGGAGTACCGGGGTGGGAAGGCATTCTTGCAGGTAGAAGGTTATGGAGTTAGAGACACAGTGGTGTTTTCAGGGGTTGGTTGTGATGTGTTAGAGGATGATGAATCCACGGGAGCAGTTAGAGGAGAGGGCTGGGTTACAGCAAGCTTGACTGCGATTACAGGGAACTGTGGGTTTGCATCAGAGGAGGAAGTTGACGGGTGTCCTTGAGAGCAGCAAGTGCTCAGAGCACTTACAGGCACCCCCTATCCCTGGATCTTTTTTCAGCACCCCTTTGTGAGACACATTCCTGGACTATATCAACCTAAATTCTGCGTGAAATGTAAACAGAATTGTGATTTTCTTAATCCCATTCTTTGCCTCGATGTTTCTGCTCCTCTCTGGGTTCTGTTCCATTGCCGTGGATGGATGGTGCCATCTTGTCTCTCATCTCAGTGGGAGAACAAGGTTAAGGTTGTGCATCCCGAGGACTTTGGGACCTCAGCAGGGTGGGACATATTGTTTTGCCTCCTGCTTGTCCTGCTAACAAGTGTTTCCTTTGTTCCTTTAGCAGGGAGGGTGTTTATGAGATCAGCCTGTCACCCACTGGAGTATCTACGTAAGTGAATTCTCACTAGAAAGTGACTGCTGTTATCTCCCCAGTTATAATTCCTTGTATTAATCTACTCACTTACTTGAAGTATATAACTCCTGTCCATTAATTTCATGGAGAACAAGAATCTCTCCTTTTCATGTTGTGTTTCTACCTTAGAAACATTTCCCAGTCCTCTTGGAACACCCACATCTCCTATTGGAGTGCAAGTCCCAGCAGCTCCCCCACTTTGGACATAGCTTCCTGCCAATACACACCTTGGGGTGAAGAGCAAGTGATGGCTCAGGGATGTGGGTCCCTGCCACCCATGACCTAGATCTGGATGGAGTTCCTTCCTCGTGGCTTTGGTCTGGCAGAATCCTGAGTGAATCAGCAAGTAGAAAATCTGCCTGTCTCCCTGCCTTTCAAATCAAATGAAAATGAATAACATTTTTAAAAGGAATATTTTCATAACCTGTTTGTCAGATATAGTAACTATTTCTACCCCAGTTTTTCAGATGAGGAAATGGGACAGGGAGATTGAAGACTTTTTCTTGATGTTAACACAGATTAACATCAGAGTTTGGTTGGACCTCAACTTCTATGCTACAGATGCTCTACTACTACATTAAATATAGTATCATATATAACGTTATGTAACATTGCTGCCTAAGGGTGAATTTCAATAAAGTTAAAGAATTGGGCTTGATATGATGGCTCAATGGCTAAATCCTCACCTTGCAAGTGCCAGTGTCCCATATATGAATGCCAGTTTATGTCCTGGTTGTTCCACTTCCCATCCAGCTCCCTGCTTGTGGCCTGGGGAAGCAGTAGAGGATGACCCAAAACCTTGGGACCCCCTACACACATGGGAGACCCAGAAGAAGCTCCTGGCTCTTGACTTCAGATTGGCTCAGTTTCAGCCCTTGCAGCCATTTGGGGAGTGAACCAGCAGATGAAAGATCTTTCTATCTTTCCTCTCCATAAATCTTTCCAATAAAAATAAATAAGTCTTTAAAAAAGAATATATTATTTAATGCATATTCATTATTTGTAATTTTGAAAACATCAGCTAGTGCATGAATATAGTAATTCTCATTATAAAATGATGAAACATTTAAAACAAATATGCTAGAACAGACACATCTGAATAAAGCACTTGTAAAGGGCTTTCTAAAAAAGATGTATTTATTTGACAAACAAAGTTTTATATATATAGATAGAGAGAGAGACAATGACAATCTTTTATCTGCTGGTTCACTTCCCAGATGACTGCAGTAGCCAGTGCTTAGCCGGATCGAAGCCAGGAGCTTCAAGGTCCACCATGCAGGTGTTTGGCCACATTCCACTGCTTTTTCCAGGCAAGTAGCAGGAAGGTGGATTGAAAATGGAACAGCAGGGACACTAACTGGTACTCTATTGGGATGCTGGTGTCACAGGTTGGGAGGTTACTTGCTATGCGTTGATATCAGCTCTAAGCAAGGGCTTCTGCTAGGCTTGGAAGGCTGTACGATTTGTTGGCACTGCTGTTGTGATAGTCAGTTTTGGGTTTAACAATGACATGAGAAAATCAACTGTACTATTTTGATCACATCTGATTGTTATGTTTTTAAAGATTTATTTATTTTTATTACAAAGTCAGATATACAGAGAGAAGAGACAGAGAGGAAGATCTTCCCTCCAATGATTCACTCCCCAAGTGACCACAACGGCCGGTGCTGTGCCGATCCTAAGCAGGGAGCCAGGAACCTCTTCCGGGTCTCCCACATGCGTGCAGGGTCCCAAGGCTTTGGGCCATCCTTGACTGCTTTCCCAGGCCACAAGCAGAGAGCTGGATGGGAAGTGGAGCTGCCGGGATTAGAACCGGCGCCTATATGGGATCCCGGTACCTGTTCAAGGCGAGGACTTTAGCTGCTAGGCCACGCCGCCGGGCCTACATCTGATCATTAATCATATGTATCATCAAATGAGCAATGGCTCTTATAAAAAAAGTACACCTTCAGAGGGAAGAGCTGCCAGCACTGAGGCTGTGGGAGAGAGTTCCACGGGCTTTCCAAGTATTTCTGGCGAAAGGCTTCCAAAACAATCCTGAGCTGACCTGGCATTGTTGCAAACAGCGTGTTCAGTGAGAGAAAGAACTCCATTTCTGCGTTTGCTTTGACACAGGCGTGATGACTTCCAGCTTTTCCTAGGAATGGCTCTGACTTACAACACTATCAAATCATTTGTTGTGTTTTAACTTTTGATTTATTTGAATAGAAGATAAAGAGAGGCAGATACACACACACATGCATGCACACACGCACACACAGAGCGAGCTCCCATCAGCTAGTTCACTCCCTTAATGCTCACAGTGGGTAAGGCTGGGTCAGAGCTGAAGGTCGGAGTTGGCAGTCCATGTCATTCATGTGTGTAGCAGGCACTCAGTTGCTTGAACCATCACTGCTGCCCCCCTCTCCTGTACCCTCTTTCCCCCGATTCCATATAAGCTGAAAACTGGAGTCAAGTGTTAGAATCAGAAATTGAGCTGAGGTGCTGCAGTGTGGACCCTGGGCCTTTTAACTGCTGGATTATGTGTGTTCCCCACACGTTGTTAGAATAGCACAGAGCCAGGAGTGTTTTTGGTTATTCCACTGAACCCTGGAGGTGACCTTGAGCAGTAGATACAATCTTCAGGTTACAGATGCAAAAACCCAAATTCAGAAAGATCACCAAAGTTGCACAGCTCAGCCATGTTGTGGTGTTTGCAACAAAGCCTACAAAAGCCCGTTGCATCTGCACTCCCTTCCACCTTCCTTTCCTCTTTTTTTGCCTTAGTGTGAAAGGAGTCTGTTTTGTACCTGTTGGTCTGGGAAGTGGTAAGATAGTTTTACTTACTGGGCCTGGAGCAATAGCCTAGTGGCTAAAGTCCTCACCTTGAATGCGCCGGGGTCCCATATGGGCACTGGTTCATATCCTGGCAGCCCTGCTTCCCGTCCAGTTTCCTGATTGTGCCCTGGGAAAGCAGTTGAGGACAGCCCAAAGCCTTGGGATCCTGCACCTGCACGGAGACCTGAAGGAAGCTTGTGGCTCCTGGTTTCAGTTCGGCTCCGGCTGTTGCGGCCACTTGAGGAATGAATCATCAGACTGAGGGTCTTCCTGTCTTTCTCTCCTTCTCTGTGTGTCTGCCTTTCCCATAATAAAAACTAAAAAAGATGGTTTTGCTTACCTACTAAAGCTAGTGTCCAGATGAATTTATTCCACTAACAGACTTTGCCCCACCCTTTTTCTTTCCTGTCATTAATAATGGTTCTTTCTGTGTCAGGGTGCGTTTGTATCCTGGCTTTGTTGACTGGAAAGAAGCTGACTGCATGCTGGAACAGCTCTGTCGAGATGTGCCCTGGAAGCAGAGGACTGGCTTCAGAGATAGTAAGTAGATCTCGCATACCACAGCTGCTGCTGTCTGGTCCCTCTCCAGAATGTTCTCCAACGCCAGGGCCTCTGCTCACCACAGCCAGTCTTGAACAGCGCTGACAACTTGAGGCAGTAAGGATGACCCGGATCAGCCTGTCAGGGGTGACAGGGACAGGTGTTCCAGGCAGAGGCTGGGGACACTGTGGCCGGAGTTTGGAGGTTAGAGCTCAAGGAACTGCACGAAGCTTGGTTTGGCTGACATGTGTGAGGTCTTCAACCAGTCCATGGAAACTTCCTGTTGTGGAAAAACTGCTTGGATTTCAACATTTTCTACCAAAATAAACTTTGATTTTCATTTTTTTTTGGTGAGTTTTTTGACGTGCTCCCATACCTCCCACCCTTAGTATCCTTCACTGCCTGTTAGTCCAAGAGGAACCAACTTTCTTCTTTCTTCATAGAAGCTTCCAGGCTTTCTATTTTCTGCTCCTAGATGGCATGCATTCTTTCACAATCCTTCTTCTTGATTATTTCTGATTCTCATTTTAATTTCATCACAAGAGTCCGGTCCCCTTTAGCTTCAGCATGTTTAACTCTCCAGAGCTTGACAAGGAGCTGCGGCAGTTAAAGACACAGCCTACTTGGAGCCCGCCTCTCTGGCTGTCCACCAGCCAGCCCTGCCTGCTATACCCTAGGCGGGCACTGGGGGGCGGATGGGATCCAGCACAGATTTTTCCTTTCTGGCCTATTGAATTTTGGTTTCCTGTAAAGAAAGTAGCAAAGTTATATTCTAGCTTCATTTTTGTTACTCCCATCAGAGCGGCAGTTAATTTTCTCAGGGATTTTACAGCGAGGCTTTTGGTGACTTGACTTTGATTGTTGGCTCTGTCATTCAAAGTGATATGTGCTAAGCAAATAACAGTTAAGTAACTCACTAATTCTCGGATTTCTTATTTATAACATTAAACTGATTAATAGTACCTACCTCTTAAGGTTGTTGTATATTTACTAGTGAGATTATGCATGTTAATTGCTTGCAGTGAATCTAAGTTGCTTGTATTATTATTGTTTTGGAGGAAAAATGGAAGATCTCTCTCTAAATAAATTTGGATAGCTAGCAGAAACTTCCAGCTAGAATCAGTTATGTGCTGCAGACAGAGTGCTTTCTCCATTCAGAATCCAAAGGGCTGATGCGACATTGCGCACACAGGTGACGTTTGTATTAGGTATATATCTATATATTTATATAGTGTGTGTATATATACATATATACTATATATACTATATATATAGACATATATATATTCTTCTTTCTTTTGCTTGAAAGTCAGTTATAGAGAGAGGGAAAGAAGAAGAGAGATCTTCCTTCCACTGGCTCATTCCCCAAATGACTGAGCCAATTTGGAACTGGGAACCAGGAGCTTCTGGGACTCCACGCGGGCAGGGGCCCAAGGCCTTGGGCCAGCATTCCTGTTTTCTGAGGCCATAAGCAGGGGGCTGGATTGAGAAGTGGAACAGCCTGGACCTGAACCAGCGGCTATGTGGAAACCTGGTGCCGCAGGTGAAGGCTTAGCTCACAAGATCGCTGCAGTGGCCCCAGTTTGTCCAGATTGTCACATGGAGCTGGTGCCACAGATTCCTGCTACGAGGATGCAAGCTCCCTAGTCTGCTCTTTTGAGACCTTTCCTATTCGGAGCCTGGCCGTTCCTGCATGTGACTCACTTATATTGTGTCATCACTGAATAAAGCGAATCACGCACACCCTTGGCTCTGTGCTTTGGTTTGGGGTCTTACGGCCGTGGGCCTTCTCCTGCTTTTCCTTCTGACTCATTTGGCTCTCCGCTTTGGTTTGGGGTCTTACAGCCATGGGCCTTCTCCTGCCTTGCCTTCTGACTCATGGTACTCCCTTGCCACCCAGATCCTCTCTGAACGTGAGATCCAGGGTCATAGCCCATCGCCCCCACCTTTGTGTGGCCTGTAGCTTCTTGCACGTGTCAAGACCCGCAGTCTGCACTAATTAGGTATGCCTGGAGCACTACTCGGCCTTCTCAAAAGCCCTGTATTTTCTTCCTTAGATATAACTTATCCACAACCAAGACTTACAGCATGGTACGGAGAACTTCCTTACACTTATTCAAGAATCACTATGGAACCAAACCCTCACGTATGTGCATGTCTTGTCATTGGTATAGTTTTATTGCCTGTGTACTGTTAAGTATTATAAGATACCCATGAATGACCTTGCAGGGCAGCCTGGGGGTTCCTGGTTTAAAAACCCTTGGGGCTCAGACACCCTTTTGTGTGCTTTTGACCCGTGAATGAACTTGGAGAAGAAGGAAAAAATGAGTCAGAGTTTGTAATTTCAAGAAAATGAACTACTTCTGATATGTCCTTTCCCCAAGCTTTCTTGATGGCAACTCTTCTGTGTACACCCTGGTGATGGAGCAGCAAGGTCAGAACAGCTTAGTCCATTTCTCAGGCTCCTTTGCTTGCCTAACAGTCTGGTGTTCTTGTTGATGTGGTAGTTCTTGCAATGGCTGCTTTCTCAGACTATCAGCTTCTTATGGCCTTGGCCATCTCTGCTACCTCTTTTGTGTTGCAGGAGACAGAGATATTCTGGTCTGTTATTTAGACCTGTCTAGAGGAGAGAGGAGCCAAGGGCCAAGAAATAGTTCCCTATTGAATTGCTGGACACTCACTATTGGCAACTGATTTTGTGTTTCATTGAAAGAGACTTTGAAGAAAATGGAGTTTTGTTTATGATATTGGGTTGCACAGAACTATGACAGGTTTTAGAACTTCTAGTACTTTTTCAACACAAGCCACCATTTTATCAAAATGTTCAGGGACAAAGCACCAAGGGAGTACATGACTTTTTTCTCATACATTATGACACACATGGAGTTTGGAATACCATACAGCTATTAAATAGTATAGAATAATGGAACAAAATCAACAATAACCCCTTTCACAGACTTTCTGTAAAAGAGGGCTCACTCAGGAGTGGTGTATGTTAGGGTGCTTGTGTAACTTCAGAGTTGTTGCCACCGTAACCGTAAAGCATGACGGAGCAGGTTCGAACTGTTCAGCTTCTCTCCATCTTTGTGCAGATGAAGCTTCCATTACAAACCCAGGTCCACAGCCTTGACCTCACCTTGCTCCTGCTGTGGCCCCCAGAGGCATCTCTGTGGTACCCAGGATGCCACAGAAATTTGAAACTCCCTTGAATAGGTTCTTGCATTTCTGTGAATTCCAGTTTTCTCATACTCTGTGATTCAATTTTCTCATACTCTTCTCCTGAGTGTCTTTTAAGGATACCATGTCTTCACCACTCAGTGAGATGACGCTGAATTTTAATATAGACATTCAGCTCTGAAGGCTCTGGATATAGTGTCGGTTGGAGAGTCTAAATTAATCCTCCAGTTCATTATCCCCCATCTCCTCCTTTTCTATGTACTTTACTACCAAAAATAACCAAGAAAAATATACAGCCACTCAGAAACATAATGCAAACTCAGAGGTGTCCCAGTGCTTGGTCCCTTAGCAAGTCGGCAGGTGCTAATGGCATTCCCAGTCACGTTGTAGGAAAGCCACCTTGCTCTTCTACATTCTTGTTCTTCTTATTTCAAGTGCATAATGCTAGAGGTAGTCCTGCTCTTTATCTCCTCGGGGTAAATTTAAAGCTGTAAAATAAATAGGAAGTGTAGCTTGCTAGTATTATTTTAATTTCACTTTGGAGTTTATTCTCTTGAGCATGGGTTGCTTCATAACATTTTGCTGATCTATGTTATATTTATTGTTGCTGCTTTTAAAAAAATTTTGCTTAATGTTAACAGCTGCAGCAAAAAATGTCAACCGTAACTGTGCTTTTTACATCAAAGCCAAGGAATTCTCACATCTCCTTCTCTGTTTTCTCTGACGACAGCCATGGGGTAGTCTCACTGATACGCTTTCCTTTGCTGAACTTCCATCCCTTCACCACCACACATATAACACAGACATTCAAAGAGTTCCATAAAACAGAAGTTCTTAAGGTGTAATTTGTGGACCCTTTTAGGAGAGTTTGTGAAATGCTTTGTTTTCAATATTAATTTTTTTTCAATTTGAAAGACAAAGTTATAGAGATAAGGAGAGAGAAAGGGAGGGAAAGGAAGAGACCAAGACCTTCCATCTGCTGGTCCACTCCCAAAATGCAACAGTGGCCAAAGCTGAGCCAATCAAAACCAGGAGCCAGGAGCTTCTTCCAGTTCTTGCATGTGGATACAGGGACTCAAAAGCTTGAAACATCCTTCACAGCCTTAAAAGGGGAGCTGGATCAAAAGTGGAGCAGCCAGGACATGAACCTGAACCCGTGTGAATGCTGGTGCTACAGTGGAGGCTTAGCATACTATAACACCATGGTGCCAGCCCCTGAAACACTTTTTTGAGAGTCTGCGTTTTCATAATAGTCCCAAGGCTACAACCTGTTCACTGTGTTGAATTTGCACTGATGAAGCAAAAACACAAATGGGTTGAATTGCTGGTTTCTTAATATGAATGAAGGTATTGCTCCCAAACGGTACCAGCAGCTGTTGTATTCTTTGCCATCAGGCACATCTGCTTTAACATCTTAAAATACAAATTTTTTTTCTGAAAACTTTTCAGAGCTAACCCTCATGCAGTAGTACATTTGCCAGATGTCCAGAACTGCTGTAGCTCAGCTTGGGTTTCCCATGAAAGTGCCAAGGATCCCCCAGAGTGTGCGTAAATCAGGAGCTGGAATCAGGAGTGGAGGCCAGGACGGGAACACGCCAATACAGGATACAGGCTTTAAAAGCAGTGTCTTCACTTCTGTACTGATTTTAAGAATGCCCCCTTGATAGGATGTGCAGTAGCTGTGTGATGGAGACTATCATATCCAGATGTGAGGATGCAATGCAGTATGCATCTCTACTTCCATACAAAGATGAACTCCCAATGGAACTATTTACTGTATCTTGACAGTAGGATGCTGGACTCTGCCATTGTCCATGCCCGCAATGATGGACATATGACTGTGTCTGGGGAACTGTACTATGGTAATGATATATGGGAACTCAGTGAGCGGGGAGGAAATTGGGGAGGGGATAAGGGAAATCCCAGGGTCTATGGAATTATAGCATAAAATGATGATAATAAAAATAAGTTAAAAATTAATAAAAGAATACCCCCTTGATAAAGCAGGAAACTTCATTAGTGTTACTAAATCCTGGTCTCTGAGTACTTAGCCTCCTTAAAAGTTAAATTCTGAGTATGTCCTGGTGTGGTAGCCTAGCGGCTAAAGTCCTCACCTTGCACATGCGAGGATCCCATATGAGTACTGGTTCAAATCCCCGGCAGCCCTGCTTCCCATCCAGCTCCCTGCCTGTGGCCTGGGAAAGCAGTCAAGGACAACTCTGCACCCATGTGGGAGACCTGGAAGAGGCTCCTGGCTTTGGATTGCCTCAGCTCCAGCCGTTGTGGCCACTTGAGGAGTGAATCAGTGGACAGAAGGTCTTCCTCTCTGTCTCTTCTCCTCTCTGTATATCTGACTTTCCAGTAAAAATAAAATAAATCTTTAAAAAACAATTGTGAGTACGTGAAGTAACCTGCTGCTTTGCTGTGGTTGTTTAAACTGTGAGCTGAACGGGCGATTTTTTTTTTTTCATGGACCATTCTTAGAACTGATGAACACACTTGTTATTCAGACTCAAGTGTTTAGCAGATATTTTCTCATAAACTGAATGAAGTGTGTGTTTTCTCAAGGAAAATAGTGGACAAGATTCATTACTAAACAAAATGAAAGTTGACTTTTCAAGCAGACTAGAATTCTTGAGAACTGTTATCTGGCATTTTGAGCTTGATGACTTACCCTTTCCGGATTAGATCATGATAATGAAAATGGATGTGGTTTTTTTTTTTTTTCTTTTGGTGGGCGGAGGTGGTCATTGTAACATGGCAGTATTTGGAACTCCTGTTTAACACCATGGACTGTTAGTTTCCAAATAACTAATAGCTGAGGTTACAAAATCATACAAGGTGAAGGATTATTTTAGAGTATCAGCTGAAGGGTTCGCATTGTGGCATATCAAGTTAAGCTGCCACCTACAGTGTCGGCATCCCACGCAGGCATCAGTTTGTGTCATGTTTTGCTCTGCTTCAATTCAGTTCCCTGCTAATACATCTGGAAAAGCAGTAAAAGATGGCTCAACAGCTTGGATCCCTACCACCATTTGGGAGACCGGCCTGCAGCTCCTGGCTCCTACCTTTAACATACACACGCCAACCCTGTGGCTGATGTTTGAGTCCACAGGCCTAGTTGGGGGAGATCCCCAGGAAGCCTCACCTGGGGTAGCTGCACACTTGACTCTTACATGCACCACTCAGTAAGGGTTAGGTTCTATCTTGCACTTGCACCAGCCAGTGCACATGCTGGTGGATGGAGCTGCCTGGTCAGTTATGCCTCTAGCTCCATCTCTCACTTGAACTGATGGGTGCTGTGGCTTAGCCTAGCCTATCCTGCCACACACCTGGTCTTCACACACACAGCAGACGCCACAGTCTACTCAGGGCAATCCCCAGTAACCTCCATGAGGCCTCCCTCCAGCTCCGGTTTTTGCATGTACCAGCATATGCTGCAAGCTAGCCCAGTCCTGACATCCCATCTGGCCCTTGTGCACATCCATAGGTGCTCCTGCCTTGCCTAGCCTGATTCACCTCCAAGTGGGTACTGTGGCCTAGCCCAGCCTGGCATGCCCCTCAGCCCCAGCTTTTGCATATGCCAAAGGGTGGTGGGTGATACTATTTATCCAAGCCCAGGTCTCCCATGTGGATGTGTGCCCTGGCCTGACACAGACATGCCCTCCAGTTCCTCTGCTCTTAACCACTCTGTCTCAGCTCCCATGCCTACCTGCCAGTACAGTGGCCTGGTGCATGGAAACGTCATTCCTCCCCTGTCAAGTATGCCTTCAGCTACTCTCACTCCAGTATAACCTTAGACCCCTTTTTCCAGCAACCTGTAGCACCCTTGCCTGGGGACCAGTGTGACATGTCCTGGCTGGGTGTTCCCCACCTTCCCCACATGTCTTTAAAAAAAAAGAGAGAATAGGTAACTATGCTGGTACACTGGTATAATTAACACAGATTTGGGATTAACCAGGACCAGAATGCCCAACAGCCTTGGCTGCTTTTCTTCCAGCAGTGTAACCCTTGCCTAGGGAGGCCCTAAGTTTTCATCATCATTTTTAAAAAGTGGAACAAACAGTGAAACAAACAGAAGGCTACCCTGCAGGAAAATGGTTTCACTCTAAAGACTTCCATCTGGCTTTGCTAAGTACCTATTTATATATCTACTGTAATGTACCATTTACCTGCTTCGTGAGATTTTATGGCGCCCACCCTAAATGTAATGACGCGTGTGTATGTGTGTGTTTCAAATTAAATAGGTGTGATTGGTAGATGGACATTGTTATACCAAATTTTTCAACAATTGATAGCAGTTAGCTTGCTTTAAAATACACGCAGTGGGCAGGAATTAAAACTATTCTTGCTTTTTTTTTTTTTTTAAAGTCACATTCCAAGTGGTTTACTCATTCCTTGCTCCTGTTTATTGGTTGGCTGAGTTTATCCCTTCCTTTACCCATGGGACTGCCACTGTATAACTTATGTGAGTGTCTGCCCTCTTCTGGCCTGTTGGTTGCAGTGGCATCCCGTGCTGAGCACCCTGAAGAAGCGCATCGAAGTGAACACGGGGTACACCTTTAACTCGCTGCTCTGCAATCTGTACCGGAATGAGAAGGACAGCGTGGACTGGCACAGCGATGATGAGCCCTCGCTGGGACGGTGCCCTGTCATCGCCTCCCTCAGCTTTGGTGCCACACGTACTTTTGAGATGAGGAAGAAGCCCTCCCCAGTGAGTATTTTCTTTGATTTGTGCTCTTCTTGCTTCCTTACTCTGCAAACAAAAAGTGGTTTCCAGAAGCTCCTATGTTCAGATCTACAAGATAGGAGCATGTATTTTATTGATGAAGCATTTTTTAGAAGATTTATTTATTTTTATTCAAAAGGCAGAGTTACAGAGAGTGGCCACAGTGGCTGAAGTTGTGCCAATCCAAAGCCAGCAGGCAGGAGCCTACTCCAGGCATCCCATGTGGGTGCAGGGGTCCAAGCATGACTTGGTCATCCTCTGTTGACCTCCCAACGACAAACAGGGCACTGAATTAGAAGTAGAGTATCCAGGATTCAAACCATAGTTAACTTTTGACTTCAAGTGTGCGTATCCATTCGTTGATTCATTGATTCCTGTATCCACCTGCCCTGTGCCAGATGCTAGGTGTGTGTTGCTGGGAAGGGCAGCTATGGTCTCTGTCCTGATACAGGTGTAGTGTAATGGTATTGAGAAGCATTACTGATTACTTAGACAATTGCTGTTGGGTCTGGCGTGATAGCCTAGTGGCTAAATCTTTGCCTTGCATTGGCTGGCATCCCACATGGGCACCGGTTCATGTCCCAGCAGCCACACTTCCCATCCAGCTCCCTGTTTAAGGTCTAGAAAAGCAATCAAGAATGGCCCAAAACCTTGGGACCCTGCAGCCACATGGGAGACCCAGAAGGAGCTCCTGGCTTGTGGCCTCGGATCAGCTTAGCTTTGGCCGTTGTGGCCACTTGAGGAATGGACCAGCAGATGGAAGATCTTTCTTTCTGTTGTTCCTCACTGTAACCCTACCTTTCCAATAAAAATAATTAAATCTTAAAAAAGAAAACTCGCTGTTGTGGTAAGTGATGTGAAGGGGCATTTGTGGAAAGATGAGTCAAGCAAGGGACAGGACAGGAAGGAAAGGAAAGAGACCCCAGGCAGACACCCACGAGCAAGTGTTAAACAGGTGTTTTCCAAGGGGCAGTGTGACTGCCTTTCTGTGGGGGAACATCTCAACATCTTCGTTCCTTCTTACCTTTTCCTGAAATGAGAAGGAATCTAATGAAGAGAAAACTGAAGCCAGATTATCAGCAGCAATGATGGCATGTCCAAGTTCAGGTTACTTGACATTTGAAGGATACAAAGGCTATTACTTTTTTCAGGTCTGCAGTGTTGGGGTGGACATTGTGGTACAGCAAGTTAAGCTGCCACTTGGAACTTCTGTGTCCCACTTTAAAGTGCTGCGTTTGTGTCCTGCCTCTGCTTCTGATTCAGCTTCCTACTGATGTGCACTCTGGGAGGCAAGAAACAACGACCCAAGTTCTTAGGGTCCTGCCTTCCACGTGGGAGTGCCAGCCTGAGTTTCCTACTCCAGCTTTCAGCCTGGCTGTGCTGATAGTTGTGGGTGTTTGGGGAGTGAGCCAGTAGATGGAAGATCTCTCTTCCTCTGTTTCTCTTTCTCCCTTTCAAAGAAAGAAAGAAACAAACAAAAAATGAATGTTTAAAAGTGTGTGGCTTTACAAGTATGAAAGACAGTATGAAAAATGAAGAAACGAGCTGACCTCAGATCATTTTATCTTCAGGGCTTGAACTTTGCATTTGAAGTCAAAGTCCCTGATCATTTGCCTTGCGTCTTTAAGGCAGAGCAGTCAGTGTGGGAGGCCAGTGGGGTTTTTGTGAATGTGACCTAATCTTAGGCCACATCATCCATAGTCAGCTGGCGCTCATATCTTGTCTTCATCAGATATGTTACTGTAAGAGTTCAGTTAATGGACAGGCAATTCTCCTGATGTGTACTTGACTTTCCATCCATGGTATTTTGCAGTATATCGGGGTGTCTTGCCATATGCCATTAGGTACTTTTTGTTGCTGTCATTTCCATTCGTTAGTTTGTTTTGCTTTGGGTAAGACAGAAGTGGTGGTTATTGTTAGCAGAAGACTGTCAGTTGCCAGTGTCTTATTGAACGAATGTGTACCCTTAGCCCTTAACCAGCCTTTGCAGAGGGCAGGAAGCCTTGGCAGGCAGCTTGTCCCAGACCAAACTGTACTGCCAGCGAAGTATGGCTGAGCTTCTGCACATAGGCTTCTGCCCAGTGAAATCCCCCAAGTTCACAAACATGAAGAGCTTGTCTTATCTTTGTAAAACTTTTTGCATGAGTGAAAAAAATACTGTGTGTTTCATTATTGAAGTTCAGACCTCCTTCTTAATCCAGACACATGGAACTTGAGCTTTCTGCCCAGCATGGCCCTGGGTACAGGGGGGCTGTGACAGTAAATGGATGAGATGGCATCATCTTTCTATTCATGAAGCTCCTGTGGTGCGTGCTGGTGCCATGCCTCCCTGCTGGAGATATCTGCCATCCTTCTGCTTGGCAAATAAGCCATGCTCTATATGAGCCTACTTCTCAAAGTTCATAGAAAGAGAAACTAAACTACGAGTTTATTTTGGTGCTAAAAATTTTGAAATCCGTGCAGTTTTTTTCCTCATAATATGCATTTTCCATTTATCATAAAAGCATTTTTATGTCAAAAGGCTCTTTTTCTTTTGCGCCAAAGTAAACTTACACATTAAAATGTATGTATGTTTCTGTGAACTTTTAGAAATGCTTTCATAAAAATCTTCAAAACTTTTGTCTCTACTTTATAGTTACTTTCTAGATTGTACAGTGTTCAGAAACCACCACCTCCTTTTACATTTTCTTTTGGCTTCTTTATACATTTGGAGCTGAAGAATCCTGAGTGCACCTTCTAGGTGATTTTCCAGCTCTGGCAGCCAGGTCCTGCCTCCTCCCCGCCTCTCTGGGCACCCGAGGCTGTTGACTCTCTCGCGAAAGCATCACATAATAGGTGGTGATAAAGGCCCACTTCCTGCTAAAACGGTACTTAAGAAATCTGATGGTGGTGTAAAAATCATTTCGTGTGCTCATCTATTGATGTTATGTGATAGAGCACTAATGTGTGAACAGAGACCCTCAAGTGCCACCACGTCCAATGTCCAAGGTCACTTCCGGGGGTGACCAGTCAGAGCAAAGTCTGTGTTTAAGAGGGAGGATTCTCCTGCGGATGCTCCCTCTTCTCAGGGCTCTTAGAGTCCTTTTTGATGGGCCCAAGGGACAGCCCATCAGACACTCAGAATCCCTGAGCCCTGTCATTGTCTTTACCAGAACACCGACAGCCCGTTGGGGGAAAATGCAGATCTACTCATTGAGACCACTTGCCTGACTTCGTGAAACGAAGTTGGCTAAGGAAATGGATTTTGGAAGGAATGTAAACACGTCAGTACCTCAGGTTAGGGACTTGTTTAAGTTTTGGTGTCTGGTGCAGTTTTAACTATGATCGAATTTAATGTAGTTTTTGTGTATTTCTCAGCTTTTGTTTAAGATGAGGAAGTTGAATGTTAATATATGCAATTGTAATCACATTTACAAATATATATAGCTTAAAAAATGATGCCAACCCCTCCCTCTCCCCACCCCTTGCTGCAACTGAGCCTATAATTTCCATTGTTAAGTGAACACAATACAAGATTAAACCTTTGGAAAGATTTTTTCAGGTTTCCTAAAAAAAAAAAAACTAATAAAAAGAAAAAACAAATCTAGTGCATGCCAGATGGAGCTAAGCTGTAAGTGCAGAGGCATTCTCCATCTTGACTCCTCTGGAAGTGTTTCTCAGGGTACACGTGTTTACATTATTATAAACGAACCTCTTCCTAAGAACCAGAAGGAAATAATGATTGCAAACTTTTGTCTGCTTTTCTCATGTCAGGTGATAGCTCTGACACATGACTGTGTTAAAAATGTGGGTTAATAAGTAGAAGATACCTTCTGTGTGGGATTTGTAGAACTCTGATCACCGTCACTCTCGGGCCTGTCTCAGGCTGTCACTGTATGTCATTGTTCTCCTGTGTGACAGCAAGCCCTTTGAGTACACTACAGGCTGGGAGAGGGAATCCTTGTGAACGTTGACCTCTCACCTGAGCAGTTAATACCTCCTTTACTGGAGTCCCAATTGTCCCCGGAATCGTGAGATTCCTAGTGCTTCATTCAGATACCCAGTTAGGAGACAGAAAGGCGACTGTTTTGGGTTTTGTTCAAGAAGTGGTAGTCTTGGTTCTTCTATAAATTTGAACTTCTCCAGCCTTGCAGAGTTGTTTGGTCAACAATCTGGCACCTTCAACAGATCCCCGTGGCTGCACATCTGCCACCTGCTGCATTGGCGATGGTCCCTCACTGTGCTTGATGCTGAGATGTTTCCTGAGTGCCAGGGCCTCTCTGATTCATGCGGGCGGCTCAGGTGCATCATCTCAGGGATGGAACATTTCATTCATCCTCTCTTCACTCTCCTGTCGTCCAGTTCTGTCAGCCCACTGCTTGACAGCACATCATCATTTCTTTTACTGAGCGTGAAATGTGGTGGGCACAGTAGACTTGTTCAGTCCTGCTGTCACTTAGGCCTTTCTCTGGAAAAGACTGGGTGAAGAGTGTCCTACTTGTGTTCTAGCCAATGTCAGGCTGTACTGACTCAAGTTCAAAGTAAAGTTTGCCATTTATGCTTCAGTAGACCTTTTTTATTCCATCAGACTGGATTCTTCAAATCTTCTCCATACTCCTTGTCCCAAATCCACTTGTACTTTTCAGACTGCCTCATGTCCCTGTTTGCAATGATTATCCTGGTTCTTTTCCCAGCATTAATTCTATACTGAAGAACAAGCTGGAAGAGGAACTACAAAAGCCATTTGGCAGGCTGCTATTTCTCTGTCGGTTACCATGGAAACAGTGATGGCTGTGTGTGTGGAGGGGGGGTTATTAGATAATAGCAGGAAGTTTGTGATGCACTGGAGGTTTAGATGCCAAAAGCCTTGTTTTTCTAGCAAATTACCCCCTGGATGAATGCTGCTGTTCATCAGCTGAATTTTACAACCACAGAGGGCTTCCATGCTCCTCGGGTGGTGGGGCCTTTCTCTCACCAGCTCTCGGAAGTCTCTGTTCAATGATGGG